CAACAATGAGAAATTTAAATCACAATCATATTTCAATTAATGGATGGAAAAAACATGCACATTGGCTGTATACATGACCTGGAGGTTCTAAAACCAATTACTTCCCTCACATTATGCCAAGGAAAGTTCTATTCTCATCATTCGCGAGGCAAATATGGTACATGTTTAATCATATTCAAAATTAATACAATGAAAAAATGCGGTTGAGTATCTTATCTTTGTTAATTTAAACACTATAATAGTGCTGATAACTGACAGTGACAAGAAAAATTTTGTAATATTTTTAGGCAACAGAAGACGATGTATACTTCTCCTTTCTTCCTCTTGCTCATGTATATGACCAAATAATGGAGACCTATTGCATCTCCAAGGGCTCATCAATAGGATTTTGGCAAGGCGTAAGATTTTGATTCACGTCATGGAATTAGTTTTTGGTTTGTTCTTTAAGTGTTTGTTTCAATGCTTCTTACGGATTTTTCTGGTTGATCCATGCAGGATGTCAGGTTCTTACTGGAAGATGTTCAGGCACTGAAACCAACTATATTTTGTGGTGTTCCTAGAGTTTTTGATCGTATTTGTTCTGGTAAAACAAGAATGCTTCTTATGATCATCTTTGGTTCTATGACTACATATTTAATCCAAGAATCATGATCTTAAAAAACTACATTATCCAATAAGCACTGTCATTAACAACAAGCTTTTCATTTGAAGGTATCAAAAGCAAACTTTCTTCAGCAGGAGCAGTGCAAAGTACATTGTTTCAGTGTGCTTACAACTAGTATGTTTCATCGTTGAACTCAAGTGTAAAGTTATCTGTATGTGTGTAAACTAATTTGGAGTCCAATGACAGCAAGTTAAAATATCTGGAGAAGGGTCTTCCACAACACAAAGCAGCACCTCTGTTTGATAGGCTTGTGTTTGATAAGGTATAATAGCACTTTAACTACGTGTTATTTTCATAAAGTTTGGCCCAAAACTAAAATATAAGTTTAAATGATAGACAAAACAAGCACTAGGAGGACGTGTTCGCATCCTGTTATCAGGAGCTGCTCCTTTGCCTAGGCACGTGGAAGAGTTTATGAGGGTCACTAGTGGATCTACATTATCACAAGGATATGGTATGGTATTTGAATCTTCTACTGTATAGAAAAATGTCTAACAAAGTTTTCTGAATCAAGGGCTAAATTTTAACTTGTAATCTCTTAACAAGAAAATAGAAATGATGGTTCAATCCTATAAAACAATTCTACCATGATCTTATTATAATGGTCACACGTTAATTGTGTACATGTGCATGATCATATTAATTTATTACCATTTTGATGTGACAGGTCTCACTGAAAGTTGTGCCGGGTGTTTCACGGCCATAGGTGATGTGTATTCTATGACAGGAACCGTGGGAGTCCCAATGACAACCATTGAAGCAAGGCTTGAATCTGTTCCAGAGATGGGATATGATGCTCTCTCCAACGTAGCCCGCGGAGAAATTTGTCTGAGAGGAAATAGCTTATTCTCTGGTTATCACAAGCGTGAAGATCTTACCAAAGAGGTTATGGTTGATGGTTGGTTTCACACAGGTAAATACAAGTTGTTCTGGATTCAAAATTCAGTCATTTGTAAATCAGAAAAAACATTCACACACAATTAAATCATTGCAGGAGATATTGGAGAATGGCAACCAAATGGAGCCATGAAAATTATTGATAGAAAGAAGAATATCTTTAAATTGTCTCAAGGAGAATATATTGCTGTGGAGAATATTGAAAACAAGTATTTGCAATGCCCCCTTATAGCATCGGTAATGCTTCTGCTTCAATCACATTGCAGTCATTAAAGCTAGAGAAACAATAGATAGAATTTGTTTCGTTCTGATATAAGTTTACAATAAAAGCTCATCTATGAAGTACTTCTGTTCTCGTTTATAAGCAAAAAATACTAAATTCATACAGAATAAGGAAATGAGTAGAAGTAGTTAAAATTTATGTGGTTCAACAATGGATAAAAATATCTTTCGTATGCAGATTTGGGTGTATGGAAACAGCTTTGAGTCATTCTTGGTGGCTGTTGTGGTCCCTGAAAGAAAGGCCATTGAGGATTGGGCACTAATGCACAATGTGAGTGATGATTTTAAATCATTATGCAATAATCTGAAAGCAAGAAAGTACATTTTGGATGAGCTCAACAGCACTGGTCTGAAACACCAAGTATGTATATATAATATTTCATTGTCCTATGCTGGTAGTTTCTGGTTGTATGATATACTATCTTGTTTTACCAATATCTGACATGAAAGAAACACTCTCAGCTTAGGGGATTTGAGCTACTAAAAGCCATTCACCTGGAACCAAATCCCTTTGACATAGAGCGAGATTTAGTAACTCCAACTTTCAAATTGAAGAGACCACAATTGGTCAAGTACTACAAGGTGATGTTGTCAAAATTTCATAACTATTAACTTTTTGAATTAGTAGCTTATTTCACAATTCGTACCAACTATGCATCAGTTTTTGGCTTCCATGCATCAGCACCAAATGCTTATCTATAAATACCAATCAGATGTTTTGAGTAACTTGCTCAGTAAATATTACTCTTTGTCAACATTATGTTGCAGGATCAAATTGATCAATTATACAAAGAAGCAAAGGGAGCAATGGTGTGAACCATGATGCAAGCGACCGCACTATCTGCAACTATTTTTCTGATTTCTGGCAGCTATGAAGCAAAATCCAGTTGGCATTCTGTATATTTTGGTTCATTACTGTATTGAAACTGCAACTTCTTGTAAAAATCACATAATAAATTGTGTGGCCACTGCAAAATCTATATATATTTTGGCACCAAATTGCGTGGAATGTGGTACAGTTTAACCTTATATTTTCACACAACTGTCCACATATTTTCTTTGTCTGGTATTATAAGTATTATTGGTGTTGGTTTCCAATTAGTTTCATCTTGATAATGTGTATAATAAAATACTTTGGTATTTCTTTTTTTAATAAGTGAATTACTTAATTTTTCAATTATTCGAAAATATTAATTAGGTCTATAAACATTTTTTTTAAGATCTTTGAGACCATGGCTAAGTTAATGACATTAATTAAAAAATAAATATGAGTTGTAATGTTCAATTAAAATAGTAATAATAATTAAAAAACCTAATTAAATGTTTTCATATATAAGTTATAAAGTTATAGAATAATAATTTAACTAACTAAAAACAAACTTAATTATTGTCATGCATACATAGCTGAATGGAAAAGACATATGATAAGGATGTTTAAATAACTAATCTCAATTATTCTCATGACAAACAATCAAAGCATATAATTATCCAATTGAACAAATAATTATTTAATTATGGAGTGGGGTTAGGTTAGGAATATTTTGTGAACTACATGTTACGCAAGGGAAAACAATGGGGTGCTAATATTTTATTAGAACTAGACTTAATCATAGCCTTTATCGAGCATTAGTGCAATAAACTACTTTTTTATTTTTGTGCCCATAAGTATATAATGAAAAGTTAAACATAAAATGTTATAAAACAATATTTATCATATAAAATATATACAATTATTTACCACTACATTAAAAAAGTTGTACAAATTGATTGGGCTCAAACATAGTTTATTATACTCATGAAATAATCGTGTGAGATTTTAAATAGGTAAAATAAAATGTTTTTTATAAGGTTATAGCTTATAAGGATAAGATAATATTTTTATGAAAGATTATTTTTCTTCTTATAATTAAATAATTTTGCAATTAAGCACGTTTAAATTTTAATATCATTAAATACACGCGTATATTTTGACTAAAATAAACGAGTTTTCAACCATAAATATGTTAAAAGAGTAATACGATACGTATCAATATGTATTCAAATCCTATAACGTGCATTTGTACAACAACGCGTCGTAAAATCACCACTTGTCATTCTCAATTTCGGAAGAAAAAAGGAACTCTTAAATTATCTTTTAATATTTGTATGAATAAATTTTGTGCTAAAATTTTTATGGATCGAAGAATAAAACACTGTAATATTAAATTTAAGTTTTAGAAACTGTATAAATCGCTAAATTTACAAAACATCGTTTATTTTAACTTTTTCTATACACAACAGTAAAAATACATTCAAACAATATTAAAATAAAGCAAATACACCAATAATTTGTTCTTGTACAAAACAATACTAAACAAATATAATAAAAACAGACTAAAATAAATATATTTTCAAGTAGTTGTAAAACATCATAACAAGTCTGCGTTTATGTTTTGTTTCATGTTCTTCTAAATTATTTCATTTTTAGTTGTACGAATGAATTTTACGATCAGCCTTATTTTTAGCTAAAGCAATCATTGTGTTAGATAAAAAATTATGCTGAATTTTATTGTCAACTTTTGCAACAGTAAACTCACTTCAAAATTAATGCTAGCAAAATTAATTTCATATTGTAATATATTTATACTACCTTTCACTGCAACACTTTAGAGAAAAAAAAGTTTTAATTAATTATTATTTTACAAAATTATTATGAAAAAAAATCTTTTAGAATTATCCTCAATTAATAGTTCATGTTCTAACAATAGATGAGAAATTAATTAAAAATAAATAAATGATACATTAAAATGATTATATTTAGAAATCTCAAATATTAATTATATCTGTTAATACTTATATACAAATTTAAATATCACATAAAGTTGAAAGTTACTAATCATCAATTAAATAAAAGAAAGTTTATCTCCACCCACAACTCCAATTGTGTTTGATTTCTAGTTATGCATGTTCTAACCATAGATAAAATTTAAATATAAATAAACAGTTCTAATAATTTTATCCATCTTAAATTATTAAAAAAAAAACAAAAGTATTAATTTTCAACACCATATGGCATATTTACTGAATAAACATTTTTTTTTCTCAAATTAAGCCAATCCACATGTTCTAAAGGAAGAATTAGAAGAAAAGGGAAAAAATAAGGGCAAGCCAATAAAACTCAGAACAAGGTAGAAGCTTTGGTGAGAGACTTAATGGTAATACTAGGACCAAAGCCACCTTGTTTAAAGTCAAACTCAAACGTGTCGTAACGCAAGAAGAGATCCACCAGAAACAACCTGCACAGCAGCACCACCAGATTCTTCCCCGCACACTGCTTATTACTCTCCGAAGGCTCATCTGTTTCCTTTCCATTCGACCAAAGCACGTGTTTCAGCAACCTCTCCCCTTCCCCCACAAACCTACGCGCCACGAAAACCTCCGCATCATCGAAGATCCTAGGATCCTTCGTCGCGAACGGCTGGTATCCGAACAGCATCTCACCCTTCTTCACCTCGAACGACGCGTCGTGGCTACGCACCACCAAGTCCTCCCTCGCACGCGCGTACTGGTACGGCACCGCAGGGTCGATCCGCAGAACCTCGTACACCACGGATTTCACCAACGGCATGTTTTCCAGCGCGTTTAACGTGACTCCTCCTGCGGCGTTCACCACACGCCGGACTTCTCTCGCGAGGTCCGCGTGGAGCTTGTCGCCGGCGAGGCCCACCCATTTGAGGAGGAATGGGAACTGGTTCTTGAGTCCGCCGTAGGCATTGAAGCCCGCGGCGAAAACGACGTTGTGGCAGGCCTCGTTTGGGTCGAGGCCCAGGCTTTGGGCCTCGTCGAGGAGCGTGGTTGCGTGCGTTTTGAAGGCGTCGTATAGAGTATTGTAACCGGACTTTGTGAGGCACGCGGGGAAGGGGAGCGTACGGATGAAAAAGTCTTCGATGTAGTTGAAGATTTTGGGGAGGCCAAGCGTCGCTAATGGGGCCAGCTGTAGTAGAAGCCACGTGTCCACCAGCTTTGGTCCCTGAAAACGAAAAAAACCATGTTTAAATTATTATGTAATCTGTGACGGGCGAATATTGGTCGGAATCGGAACTTCTGTAGGAATGTTAACATGTTCAAGTTGGGTTTTGGTTGATTTTTTTTATTTTTATTGATTATGGACTAAAAATTTAACTCTGATTTACTTAATTTACGGATTAAACGGGTTTTAGCCGGATTAGGGTGGATTGTCACGCAATCCACTATTAATTTTAAATTTTAAAAATAATTATAATACTTTAGTAACCTTAATTGATGTTATCCTCTTTTACTCTTAATCTACATTGTTAGTTGTCACCACAAGTCAAACCCTTACTTAAACTTGTTATCAGTTGTTCGTTACACCATTACGTTTGTCACTGCATTTTGATCACTTGTCTTATTATTTGTCCACCGTACTACTATATCATATCCACTGTATTGCTTTCAACTTGTTTCATAAACCATTATATTGCTTTCAAAGGTAAAAATTTGTTTTATAACCTAAACTATTTGAAACAATACATCAAAGTGTCAATGTAAATTGTATATGTAAATTGTATTGGTGATGATTTTATTATTAATGAAAAACCCAATAAGTCAATTTCAGTTAATAACGAAGATATTGATGTCGAGAAAGAAAGGAAGAAAACATAAGTTTCTACATCCGAAATTTCTATATAATTAAAAAAATATGGGTTAGTGAGTCAACTCACCTAACCCACCAACCCGTGATGGATTAAGCCGAATTGTAAAATTTTTAGCTCGCCAAAAAATAAACCGGGTTGAGCTCACCTATTTTCAGCTCAACCCGTGGTGAGCCAACGTGTGAAGAATGTGAAGAGGGTTGGCTCGACACCCCTACTTAAATATACAGCTATAAACACAAGTCCAACAAACAAACTAAAAGCTTAAATATTTTTAATAAAATGGTATATTTATATTTTAGTTTTGATCACTAGAAAATCTGTTTGACATGTTATTTATATTTTTTATTTTAATCTTTATTAATTTATTTTTAACCTTTCTTATATATTTTCATTTAACTTTGTTATTTTATTTAATTTAGTCATTACAACACGTAGACAATTTTTTTTACTTCTTATTATATTTTTTAAAAGCACTAACTCATAAGGGATTATAAGGGCTAAAAAAATATATTAAAAAATATATAATTTATAAAAAATGAAAAGTTACATGTATTAATAATAGAATGTGACTTACTTGAAATATAACTATGGATCAAAATATAATTTAATAAAATATAAAGATTTATTAATTATTATAAAAAATAAAATAAAATAAAATAAAAATGTACGGTAATTAATTTTACGGACGTGGATTAATGAAAGGAAATTAAAATTTTATCTTGAATTATAAGGTTTTTTTTATAGAAAATTATTATGAAAAATGTGAGAGGAAAAAAAAATAAAGAGATAGATTGAGAAAATAAGATTAGAAAATAAAAAGATTCAAAATCAACTTCTCATTTAGCAATATTAATTTTCTTATTTTGATTTTTATATAATATTATATGAAAATTAAGGATCTAAAAATTCTTGTAAAATTATTTTTTAGATGAAAAATAATGTAAAAATATTAAATAATCGATTTAAAAAAGTACAATTATATTTTAAATATAAAAAATTTATGAAAATCAAAATAAACACATGTCAAATTTTCTTTGATGAGTATCGAAATAGACATAATATTTCTTGAAAATGCCTTCTGTTTTAGATTTTAACTAATTTGATCAATGTCAAACAATCAGCACTTTGAACAGATTCGGGAAAGAAATGGAAAAGAATAAAAGGTTTACCTTTTCAGAAAAATTTCTATAATAAAAAAAAAATTAAAACGTCTCTGAAGTAAAAAAAAAATATATATTATTGGATTATTATTCTTGTAAAATTAAAATTAAGTCTATGAAATTCATTTATGGTGCTTGAAATGGCAAGAAAAATAATAATTTTAGTTAGATTTTTTTTTTTTTTTTGAAAGGCAATAGTTCTAGAATAACTCCGAAGATCAATTTACCAGATCAATATACTTACGGAGTGGGATCCCTGCAGATACATTTTCAACTGCATCAAATCTGCACCCTCAATTTTTTACTCTATTAATAAATTCATTTTCATTTATCATATCATGGCCTTGCAGTCGTAATAATAATACTACAAAACAAACGTGGATACTTTTCTGTGAAGGGTTTGTTTGATAGACAAATAAATTAGAAAAAAGAGTAAAATAAATGAATAAATATAAAGTTGATATTGATATTCTAATTCATTAATACCAAATATTCACATAAAAAATAATGTTAAAAGATGATAGATACAATATATAATGTAATAAAAATAAATAAATACAATTAAAAAAAAACACAGTCAGTCTTTTTTCTTTTATTTTTCTTTTTTACAATTAAAGATTAAAAATCTTGTATAATTAACATATTTTTGTAAAAAAATTCAAGCAATCAATTTTTTTTTTCTGATTTTATAATAATAGTAAACAAATATAGCACTTATCTTAACTTTGAGCAAGTACTATATTAAAAAAAACAAAGATGAAGTATTATTTTTAACACAAGTTATTTGTTAAATTTGATGATAATTTACAAATTTTGATAGTATTTACTATTTTCTTTATATTTAATAATAGTACTTTGTAATAGAATTTTTTATTTATTTTGACCATATTATTGTGGTAGGAGTATAGTCTACTCTACCGACTCGGCCCGAGTCGACTCTACCGAGTTTGAAGCTCACCTTGGAACCGAGGTTGGTTTGGGAAGGGTCTTTGTTATCGCAGAACAACCTGAAGATGAAGTTGAAGGATGCGTCGCTGAACACAGCGTTGAAATCCGCTTTCGCGTTCTTACTCAGCTGGTCTTCGATCTCCGCGAACGACTCCTGGAGGCAGTTTCGGAAGAGAGGAACAAAGGCATCTTTTCGCCGGGCGAGGGCTTGGAGGAAGAACCGCTTGATGAGTGTGTGGTTGGGCTCCGCTGTGTCGAGGTAGGCGCAGACACGGAAGCTGCCGGTGAACTTGGTGGAGGGCATGAAGGTGCCGTCGAGGACGTTGAGCTTCTGGACCCTGTCGTTGTCGAAGAGGATGGGGAAGGAGGCGCCGTCCAACAGCGCGACGACACGTGGGTCGGAGGAGATGAAGGGCCCCGGCGGCATGTTGGTGCGGATGACGGTGGAGTTGTAGCGGCGGATTCGGGAAGCGAAGAAGTTGTCGCGGCCCTCGTGGTAGAAGTAGTCGTGGCGGTCGATTATGGGTCCGAAGAAGGGGAGGCCGTAGGTTCCTGGGATTGGTTTGAGCGGAAGGTGGTCGGAATGGGAGGAAGAAGTTGCCATGCTTGAGGAGAGAATGAGATGAAGAAGGGAAGGGTTTGGTGTTCTGGGAACGAGGTTGTGTGTTTGGTTTGTTATACGATGAAGCATCGATGGTGATCTGTGGAGATGAAAATGGTTGGTATGAATGAAGTATTTGGAAAGGAAAGTGATGTTTTTTTGTACTGAGTAATGTGATAAAGGTTTGATGTAGAGTGTGTTAGGTGTGCATCGTCTATAAAGTACAAGATTTATCAAAATGATGCACCATATCTGTTTTACTATTATCATATTCGCTGGGTTTATCGCGAGGACATAAATTAATCAAATCAGTTAGGGTCACTTAGTTATATATTAGTGGGGCTGTTCTTGCAATATTCATATTATTAATATATTGTAAACTTAGGTCCATCATTCTCCCCATCGTTTTAATATATTCATACTTAAATTATAAATATATTCATACTTACGTGTTTTCTTACAAAAATTAAGAACGTATATAATATAAGTATATTAATATCATTTTATTTTATTTTTTAACTTATATTAATATCATTCTATTTTATTCATTATAAATGAAAGAGAATAATTAAAATTCATTTTTCCGTATAAATATTGAATAGAGTTTATTATGTATTGCACCTTATTATATTTTTTTGAAAAAACAAGTAGATCAAAATTTTTGAATTAATAATTGTTGAAGAAGAATTTACTTTTAGTGATTGTAGAAAGATCTTTTATACTTAAAACTTTGATAAGAAACCAATTCTAACTAACTCCTTTATTTTAGACTGATGTTATTTAAATATTATATTATAATACAAAATAATAATATTAGTTATTTTTTCTCTCCTTATATGGTTTTCTTAATACAGTAAACAAAAATAATATATAATAACACAGTAATTATTTTAACTAACTATTTTTCTCTCTCCATTATTTTCACTCTTCTTTCGCCGTAACATGTAAAAGTTATTCTAATTTTAAGGATAAATTTGGTTATAAAAAATTGCACACCAAAAATAAACCAACCTCCACTGCATTCAAAACTAGAAAATGGTGGTCAATTCCTTGCATTATATAGACAAAAATATCCCTTTTGCAGATATACAATATTTATTTACTAAAATAATATAAAAATAAATAATAAATTGATTATCCATACAATTATTTGTAACATTTAAAATAAAAATAATAAATTATGATTTTAAAATATATTAAATATTTTTTCTAAATTAGCGATAATAGTATTCGTATTTGTAGTGAAATTTATTTGCTGAAGTAAATGTTATTATATAAAAAAAGTGAGTGAGAGCTATCTCATACTCTTTTAAATTGAGTGTATAGTTATTTTTGGTGGATGCGGAATTTTTTTTATTATTTGTTTCGTATTTTTTATTTCTGTGATTTTTTACATTAATAATAACACTAAATTTTATATTTTGATTTTAATATTTTATTAAGAATAAAAATAAAAAATAATTTTTTATATTAAACGAAGAAATCTTCATTATATACTGGTACACACATTGAGATGCAATTGTTTTTATAATAGAAAATCGAAAAAAAGATGCGGTTGGTCCCTTTTTATAAATATATTTAAAAAGTAAAAAATAAAGAGATTGTAGGAGGGTTAGGTTAATAATTTTATCACAACTTGATTACGATTCCAGTTGACAAAGTCATGAAAAGTTTGTGTAAATAAGAAAAAAGCTATTTTCACGATGAATTTTATATTGTTTTCACATTCTAAGTCTTTTTTTTTTCTTATAAGTAGTTAATATAATTTATTTTTTCATAAACACTTTTAAAATAGAGAAATAAAAAAATATTAATATTTTTATATATAAATTAAAATTAGTTTATATATAATTAAAATTAAAAAAAATATATTAAAATATTTTTCCAGAGATAATCTTATCCTCAACCCAACCTCTCCAACTTGATAAAAACAAATTGAAACTTGGTTTTTGTCTCATCTATATAATTGATTTTCTTACACTTCACGATACACGCACATGAACAAAAAAACACGTTAGGTTTCAGGCAATAATATCTCGTGTTTTCCAAGGTTTTTGCTTTACTTTTTTTTATTAATTATTAATTTTTTAAAATTATACTTATCCATAAAATTATATTAATTATATTCTTATTTTTTAACTATATTTATTGCAAGTTTTTTTTTTGTCAACGTTCACCATAAAAATTATTTTGGATTATATATTATTTTAGGTTTCGTTTAATTTAATACAAAATTTGGAGTAAAAGATAGCTAATATAGAGAAATAAGTGAAAACTAATATTTTTTATTTAATAATAAGAAAATTTATAATGAAAAAAAATGCCACTTTTCATTATATCAAACATATTTGTTTCTCTCTTATATATGATAAAAAAATGTAAAGAGTATAATAGATTATTTTATAAAATTATGCTCTCATTAATAAATATTTCAATAATTAAAAAAATAATTTTATAAATATTAAATTTTAATTAAATAATCATTTTCATTTATTTTCATGTTACTTTTCTCTCAAACAAAATAGCATATTTTTTATTTTTTTTCACATTTTTTTATTAATATATATAATAACAATATATATATATATATATATATATATATATATATATATATATTTATTGTATTTCTTGCAACGTTAAGTAGATTTCCACTAAATTAAGGAAAAAGAAAATTTGGTAAGTAATTTACATAAACTTACTAAATTTATTTAAAAATATTTAATCTAATAACGATAGTGTTTTAGTATCATGTCTGTTATGATATATCATCCTCTCTTAACTTATATCGCTTAAGCATCATATGTCTAGTATGTTCACGAATCTTACATCATTTAAATGTTAATATCAAAAGTAGTTTATATATATTATCCTCTCTTAATTCACCGATGTGTTTTTTAAAGACAAAACTGTGACGAATTAAAGTTTTAAAACAGATCATACTTGTAATTGATCATAACAATATTATTATAATAGGCATAAGACCGAAATACTTTCGTTTTAAGATGGAACATTAACGTCTACTATGAAGTTAAGAGTATAGTCTCGCTTTACTCCTACTTCTGAATCCTTGACTAAGGGTTATGTTTCGATACATTTATGAGTTTCACATTACTTAAAAGTCAAACTTAATAATAGTTTATATACACTCTGATTTCTCAACTCACTAATGTGTATTTTAAAGAAAAAATTATGATGAACTAGAATTCTAAAACAAACAATATATCAAATATGACAATCGTCTCTAACCATGCTATCATAATGTATACGAGAACACGGAAGATGAAGTCCTCTAAAAAGTTAATTTGGTTTTATGATTTTTTGAAAAAAATATTTATTAAAAAGAATTATCCAAACAACAACTATTGAGATAAGTGTGTAGTTATAACTAGGAAGGTTCTTGGCCTTTTATACTAGAATGGGATGTTTTGTTGGAAAAAATTTGTGAGATATTAATTTCCTTAGGTGTGATTAACATGTTTTCATGGCATGGTTGACGATTTGTTTGTTTTCTATAAGAGGATGAAAATTATTTGTATGTTATATCTTCACTTTGACAAGAATAAAAAAGAGAAAAATATAGTCAATTTCAATTTCAACACATGGTAATTTATTACTTTAGATTACATTTATGTATGAAAATGACAACACTCCATCATCTAATTGGAAGAACCAGTTTTGAAGTGATTCCAACAATCACAATCCATTTTCATGTGTCCACAATCAATTTTTTCTATACTAACAATCCATTTTCTTAACTTGTTCTAATGTTTATGCAGTATCACTACATCATATTTTCTGAGGTAGTTTTATTTATTTTTTATTTTAAACAATAGCTTTTTAACCGTAAAAAATAAAGATTATTTTAAGGTTATTTATGTAATTGAAATTATGTCTCTTTTTTTTTTAATTCATCTCAACAAACCATCATCATGATTTCTATCAAACGTCTTCAATTTGTTCTTCATTTATAATAATAAATTTACGTAACAAGCTGCTTCTAATTGTACAAACATGACCTCTGGCAATGTTAGTATATTATAACGTGCACGTCAACTACAAAAAGAATATAGTATTATGTACATGTGAAAAGAATTGGATATGTAATAATTATAATCCATAATTCTCACTATAATTAAATTTAGGATTAATGGTAAATTAAGTTGGTATTGTCAATTTAATTTTTGAAAAAAATAATAATTTAATGTTTAATATTAGAAAATATAAAATAATTTTTAAATATTGAAATTATCTCTTAAAATTATCTAACATGTGTCCTAAGAGCAAATGTTAAGGAGTAATAATTACAATTTTTTTTTAAGTTACAAGTTGATGAATATTAATAATTTTTTTTTCTATTATACTGTCATTTCTTTATATATTCTTTCTTCCTTTGTCTGTTAGTAGAAAAATAATTTTACACATTGTTAGTAGAAAAATAATTTTACACATTATTTTTTATGTATTTGATACTTGAAATTTGACTTTATCATGGAACAAATGTAAAATATTATGTAGTTTTCCTACGTTCTTAATTCATTATGGAAAACTATTTTACATGATCTTTAGATTATTGATTTTCACAATATAACATACATCGAGTACATGAATCATAATAAGAAGAGTAATCTTGATCCATGAGAGTCTATTATTTAATCTTTTCGTTCTCCAATCTCCTTTTTCCAATCTACCTCTTTGTCTTTCTTTCTCTTCTCACGCTTTCTTGATGATTTACCATGAAAAAAAAATACCTTATAACCAAAGACAGAACCCTTATTCCATTTTATTAACCAACGTCCATCAAGTTGGTTACCGTAAGTTAATATTTTTTATTTTATCTTTATTTTATTCTAACTTCACATAATAATCAATAGGTCCTCATATTTTATTAAATCACATTTGAGCCCATTATTATATTTCACATGAGTCACATAATGAAATGAATTAATTAACTCATGTGATGTCATACAATTCTATGATTTAATACTTAAGTTATAATGCGCATTAAAGGACCTTACATAAATTGGTTCTATCATTATTCATAATTAAAGATACAGCTATAACAAGAGTCATGACGGTTACATGTCATTCAA